GATTTTGACATTGAAAACTTTGAAACATAAACAATACTGGTTGGCCCTGATTGGTCGGCGCAAAATGAGGTGTCCCTGCAGGTTGACATCAGTTTTACAATGCATGTTGTGCAAATGGCATCTTGCGACCAATAAGCGGCATTAGCGGCATTGTTTATGTTTCAAAGTTGACAATTTCAAAATCTATCTTGGGAAAAAATAAACCATAGGGCATCTCATATGCGAAGGTGGATATACAACCCACCCCGATAAAACCAATAATAGAGAATTATCCGGCACCCAAGAAGGTCAAAGAGGTAAAAGTTTTTCTTGGACTATGTGGATTCTATAGAAAGTTTGTTCCTAATTTTGCGAAGATTAGTCAGCTGTTAAACTATTTAACCAAGAAAAATATTGAATATCATTGGGAACCAGAACAAGAGAGTGCTCTCGAGATCTTGAAGAAATTGCTTATAACACCTCCTATTTAAGTTATCCAGATTTAAGCAAACAGTTCATGGTTATTACGGATGCTAGGTGACCGCAATTGCAGCTATTTTAACACAAGAATATTGAGGCAAAGAACACCCTATCTGCTATACCAGTAGAACACTGAATGATGCCGAACGCCGATACAGCACGATCGAAAGAGAATGTTTAGCTATAGTTTTTGCCATAAAGGCTTACAGAAATTATTTAACTGGAACTCATTTTATTATTGTGACAGACCATAGGCCTCTGAAGTATTTATTAACAATTGAAGACGCAAGCTCAAGATTAGCCAAGTAGGCTATTTTTCTTATGGAATATAGTTTTACGATTTAATTACACCCATTACACGAGAAAAGTTTTATTTCGCATTAGTTTTGTCTTTTTGTAAAATAAAAATATAAGAAATATTTTTAAGAAATGGGAAATTTAGGGTATGAAAAGCTTGCGCATAATTAATTTGAACGAACTGATTGATACTCGGATAATAATATCGTCAAACTTTTAAAATTGAGAAAAGTGAACCATAAATCACAGAAGGTTCACCGACTGAACCACATTTTTATGAGGTATTCATGAGGGTGAAATTATCTTATTCATTATAATTTCGGTTTTAAAGAGCGGAGGGATATAATGAGCCAGGAAAAATAGACCCGTAATTTAAAAGGACTTGAAATACAAAAACAGTAAATTGTAAATTTAAATGTAATCAAATAATGTAAATGGAATCAAATAATCTAATGTAAATTAAATCTCCAATATTCAATATCAGAAGAAAAGTTCTAATTTTCTTAATTTAGCATTGACACAAATTAATTGGAATATCTAAAATAAAGTTTGTTTTTTATTTAAAGATAATTCCCCAATTCAAAAATTTAGTAACTATGTTGGCAACACAAGCCATTTCTACATAAAAAATTTGAAAGCATTGACAATTTTACATTGTATTGCCAACATAATGTCATTTTGACTTTTATCTTTAAAAAAAAACACACTTTACGTTCAAATAGTTAGTCACCGAGCGAGTGTCATCCCATTGAACTCATCATAAATCAAATCCATAAAAATGTTAAAATACAAGGTAATTAAATTGGGTCCCAAATTGACAGAATTATAATAAAATCATGATTTACGGCCGGCACGAGTGCGACTATTCTTCCAAATCTGTTTACCCCGATAATCCAGGAAATTGCGACATATACATTTTAAGACAAATGATTATATTTCTTAGAAAAGAGGAAGGTTAATGATTGGATATGACCCGAAACTTTCGGGGGATCGAAAAATATAAAATCAGCGGTTTCGGAATTTTGGAATCAGTTCAGATCAGTTCAGTACAGTCGAGCTTAGAGTCTTGAGTCTACAGTAAAGTTAATGAGTCAGTTCGGATAAAATTCGCAAAGCGTCTCTTTTATTTTGTTGCCTCGAGAAAACGCACTAAATCGAATCTTTGAAAGAAGTAACGGAAAATCATGAAAGACAGATCAGTTAAATTCGTTCAACATTATGTGCGAGCTCTAAATAATCAAAAGAATTTAGTATAGTTCAGTGATTTAAGGACGGAATGTAAGTACGCTAGTGACATATTTATTTGACTTTATCAATGGTCTAAATTACTATGAAGTAAGTGAATTGACAATGGGACTTCGCAAATATGTTATTAACTTGTGTGAACTATTGAATATATTTTTTTGCTATATAAATAGGAAATTTTAATGACTATTGAATCAGTGAGCTCTGCCTAATAAAGAGAATTATTAAACATTGAAATACTGAATATAGTTACATATTTTGAACTCTAAGAATTTAAATTAAATGCGTGATATTGAATCGGGATAGTATTTGAGTTTCCAGTTTTGAGTAAAGCTTTGTACAAATATGGCAGTAAGCGAAATCAGGGGTTTTTATACGCTTATAGAATTGGACGTTTTAAAAATTGTAATGTTTTGACGTGTAGGAGTTTTGGTTAAAAATATTGTAACTTAATGTAGTAGGGCTCTATAAAAGAGTTATTTAAGTACAAGGGTTTTGATTCTAACATTTTATTTACAAGCTCAGAGATAGTATAGAGGTGGCTGTGAGTAAGTAAGCATCATTTAGAATTGTTTTTTTTTTTAGAAAGTTCTTATGTTATGGTATAAAAATTGTACCATTTCAATTTGGAAAAGTTTTGTTTATTTTCTCGAATAAAGTATATTTATCAATGGATAACCGTACATCAGTTGTTTCTCTCACTTGCAAATAGACCCGCACCCACAATTTTATTTTACAGTAGTTGCCCAAGGAAATAATTACCATCAAATACGACCGCTCGCAATTTACTATCTAACCTTAATAATAGAGTACTTGGCGCGGACGCTACACCTGCTTGTTGAAAATCTACCTTTTATCCATAACTAAATCTATTGCACGTCACAATGCGTCCACCAGCAAATTAGATCTAAACGCAGTCGGTGTTATTGATGACGTGCAACGGATTTAGTTTTGGATCAGCTATAGTTAGAACTTTCCAGGACAGGTTTGATAATATGATGGCCTATATTTGAATTGTCAATTTTTTTTGTAGAGGAAGTTGATCACTGCGCTTTCTTAGAATTCTGGACCCCTTTCTTCTCCGAGTAACTTGTTTGGCAGAGAGAAGGTCTTCCTTTAGCGTCTCTTCTCGCATCCTGCTCCTGCTCTGATCTTCTCCTGGAGCTTTAAAGTTGATTCAGCGCTGCCTCTAGTTCGCTCTTATCGATGGATTCTAGTTTTTCTGACTCTAAGTTGAAGATTGATTTTCGCAATTCTTGGGAAAAATTCGCTAAGTATTCTATATCCAATATGAATAGAATAATAATAGTAGGTAATAGAAATAAAAGTGGATCCAAGATAGACCCTTTGGGTACCTTGATATCGGTATAATTATTCCGTTTTCTTTAAGTTTTCACTATTCAAAAGTCCTATCTGGATATTTCAAAATTAGTTGAATTGTAAGCCAATGCGCTGGAGACTTTATCAAATCAAAAAACATTCCTGTATTTCGTATTGGCTTCAATTTTTAACAATCCAGACGCTATATCAATGACCAAGAATGACCAACGGCGCGGACCTTCATATGTTACAGTCTCCGTGAATCGACAATCAAAAATAAATCAACACTATGATGTGCCTGGTTCACAGATCTTTCATGTGCCTAATATGTATACAATTTTTCTAGTACTTCTACTTGAACATGAAGCATAACATCATTGTCTGGAATCCATACTTCATAAAGATATTGATCTTATTATAGTCTAGAAACAGCGCAGCGCATGCTTGGGAGGAAACTGTGTCGCCATTTGCAAAAACCCTAGAAAAACTGAAATGGAATGTTTTTGGAGGAAAATATAAGACGTAGAATAGGATCAATATTCAATGGCCAATAAAAAATAGTTGACCTTACAGACATGGTTCATGCCCTAGCTGTGCGACAGATCTAATGAAGCCTAAACCAGAAATCTTGCAATAACCAACAACTTGTATATTGAAACCTCGAATTGCCAATCTTAATTAAATTGGTTCAAAGTGGGCTTGTTCCGTGGATGAATAAATAAATACATTATTTAAAAATTCAGAACAAACTAGAGGCGATTTTGAAGTTGAAGCAAGGAAGCTCGAGTGAAAATACGGAAGAAGTATTATTTCAACCAACATGTCGAAAAAACACGCAAGAGAAACAACCACCTGGAAAATCAGAAAAGAGCGTTGTCAAAAGAAATGCTTGAGAGAGTAATAATGAGGAAGCAAAGGGCTAATTAGGCAATTAGCATTCGGGTGCTTCTGATAACTATGAGTCAAAATCAACGGCATTTGAAGAGTTAGAAAAAATCCGGACATTGGAGCTACAGTTTCTGTTGTATTTGCATCTGAAAACAGCATAGGAACAATCATTTATTATCTAGGAAAATTGTCATGAACAATTAATGAACAACGCTTACACCTTACATTATTTTTATTGATTTGTGAAGCTATACCTTTAAAGATGCTTTGCCAATTGCTAACAACAGTCTACGAACGAAAGACTCAAAAACAAAATTCCTATTATTTATTTGAATTTATATTTAAATGGAATTTTAAGTTTTAAGTAATAAGAGAAGATCACTCATACGATGAAAGTTTATAATCCACAAATCTGTTAACATTACCTATATAAGAGAAGACGACAAGGTAAAATTATAGCTTTCAGCTTTGAGGCCATTCCCGTAAACTTGCTTTAGTGAAATAGGGATTGTCTAGAAAAAATACACTCTACAACACGGTTCTAGATGACTGAAACCATAGACAAAAACTCCCATCTTTAATCGCTTCAACAATATATTGGACACCTGCTGAGGTTATTTGTAAAATGCGTTGAAGTAATCCAAATTCCAATCTATGATCTGAGAATTGAACTCCACGTTATGCAGTTTACCGGACATTTCTGCCGCTTATCCAATAATAATGGCAATAATAAAAATAATAACATAAATTGCAATAAAACCCAATTCTAATAGGTACAAATAGGTACTTACTTCATGGGTGGAGAACTGGAAGAATCAGGCAACTGTCCCCTACTCATACTTTTCACTAAATTTTCACTGAAAATTCACAATTATTTATCTAATCACAACCGGAAGTTCCGAAATCTGTTAATCGAATAACACATAGTCCCCAGGGACTTTCAGTTTTATATGCCCGATTCAAAATTTGGATTTCAATTAAACCCAAAACTAACCCTTATATCACCCCATCCTATGGGTTATCCTCCAAAACGATATATCCCGCAGGACTCTATATCGATTATAGGCGTGCTTTCCTCAACTTTTCGCCCCAATCAAATTCACAGCTTTGATGGGGTTTTGAAGAGAGGCACCCCATTGGTAGCTCAAACTGAAAAATTGTATTGGAGGGTGGACGGCTTTGAAGTGGCTTTTGGTGGTGACAGGTCTGAAAAAGTCATAAAAGGGACTATCAACTGCAGAGATTTTTATTAATAACTATGGGTGAGGGGTGTATTTTCCCGGATTTTCATGGGGAGATTCGGAAGTTAAGTCGTTTCCGGTAAAATTTTAAGTGATAATCACTGATAATTTGAAGTGTGTTCTTTCTTTTTTAATGATATTGATAATGAGCTTTTTAGGTGCGTTTCAAGTTTTGCAACATTAATTCGTCGAAAATTAATCCTTACCTGGAACATATGAAAAATGCAGATGAAATTTTTCCTAGTGAAGCCGTTGGTAAATAAATCAATAAAATCCAAGAAATGTACAATAAAATTATGATATAGGATTTTGTTAAATTTATCAATTAGCGTAGGGATATATATTGTCATATCATCATTTAATTGTCCCAAACTATACACTGGTTCCTTACCAAAGAGCCTAAACGTAGGTTAGAGGTTCGCCATTATGGTTCTTTCCCTCGTACTCCACGAGGTATCAATTGATACTCGTAACAATGTTCAGCAAGAAACTCTATTGGGTACCTATAAGGGGACCCTGACAGAGAATTAACTAAATGGATGCCGATGCCTCTGTCGGTTTGTTATCAATCGATTCGATCCATTTCCCTACTCTTTTTTTTTTTGGTGGAAAATACGTTTGCGTAAACCTGGGACAGTGCCCCAGGGGTCCGATTCTCGTCTCAGGGAGTAGAACTCCCCGATAGAACGAATGTTTTGTCCTTGTCAACGTTATCGAAAAGTAAACGAGAACGATAAAGAAGAAAAAATTTGTTCTCTCGAGGAGCTCTACTCCCTGACACGAGAATCGGTCTCCAGGTAGTGTGGGACTCAGATTCTCTTCGTTGTCCACTACCCACTAAACATCACCCCAAATCCGAAATCAGGGACCGCCGCGTAGCACCATCTCTTTGGATTTCTGTATCCCAGTTTCCTCCTTCATTCTTCATCCACTTGTTTCCTCCTTTCCTCACTTTCTAGGAACATGCCCGCCACAGCATCCCAGCAATGACTGCTGTTCAGCATCAACTCGCCTGAATTTTCTTATCTGACTCTACATTTACACTCTCGATAAGCCCGCTCTCTGTGTTCCGCGAATGTTTCACACTTGAACAGTGTATATTCTGGAGAGTCGCAGCCCCCACAATACCAACACGCATCCGTCTCCTGCTTTCCAATCTTAGGCCAGGGACACATCTATCATGCATTCTTCCGATCCGACTCCGATCATACAATCAAGGTCCTTATTCTTGGAACAGGGGAGCAGCGGAACACTCGTTCTCCTGGGAACGCTGCTTCCTGTTGTCCAAGAATAAGGACCCTCATTGTATGATCGGAGTCAGATCGGAAGGATGCATGATAGATGTGTCCCGGGCTTTATTCAGGTAAGATAGGCTCTCCAAACCACGTGATTTTTCAATATGGCGAGTGTGGAAAATTTGACGTTTGTTTGTTTATCTTGAGTTTATTTGGAATATTTTCAAGCTAATTAGATACAGTTTACTTTGCTATAACATACTTTTTGAGATGCAGAGTGAATATTTAAAAACTTAAATGAAGGAAAATCGGGATGTGGGCGAACGGTTAGTTTGAAAAAATGTCCAGTTGACATTTTGACCCACAGTTTTCACAAATTTTACATTAATGAGCAAATGAAGGCCTACAAAAGCTTAGATTCTTACAAGTATTTTGAGTCTGGCTTAATTTTAGATGCAGGAACAGTGGTAGTGAAAAATTTTCACGTTTTAATTAGAAAATTTTGAAACAGAGAGCAATGAAAAAAGCCTGACATCATCCTTGTTACCTTGTTGAAACTACTTCCACAATCAACTACAAGACACGTTTGTGGCATTTTTAATTAGAAGAAACACTAATGAAGTCAATAGAATAAAAAAAATAAACAGAGTTCATTCATAAAACAACCAACAAAATGCACTTTAAAAAGCTTTAAATTCCATACTCTCATATACGGGATAATGAACTTTCGCCCACAACGCACTTTTTGACAGGTCGTTGGAATGAAATTCGCCAAAATAAACAGTATACCGAATATACAATATTATATTATTTATCAATTTGCATAAGGCGTATGTTCGAAATGTGCATCGTAGCGACGCAAAAAAGCTTCATAACGATAAATCATTAAACATATTTATTAAGAGTGGTTGCTGAAATTTTCCTGAAGCTTGTTTTAAACTTGAGCTTTTATTCCCTCCAAGACCGGAAATAGTGCTCTACTAAGAAAAATGTTTCTTCAGTTGAAAGATACATAATGACGAAAATTTTAACCTTAAATTGATGTCAAACTAATAGCTAATGCCAAGTAAGCGAAATTCGATAAATGCAACTTGCGTGCGCAATTCCTCAGAGCTCTAGATTTCGGTACTGTTTATTTTGGCGAATACCGTAGTTCATCCCACTTCCTATCTGTCCATGCGCTAATCTATCTTACAAATTTTTTTGCGCATCCGTTGTATCTGTTCCATCGCTCTTGCCATAATATCTTTCTGGCTACCGCTCTGCTTTCCTTTCCGTTCATATACACGTACTTCCGTTGCTCCACTGCCAGGTCGATAGGGGGCAAGCCCGCCAATATCTCCACCGTCACAGTTGCGGCTGTTCTGTAAGCACCCACTATGGCAATCGCAAATCTCCTATTTACACCGCTGAGGATTCTTCTGTATTTCTTATGGCCATAGCCACCAATTGGTGGTTGGGAGTCTCCCGATGTCTGCCGATGTCGCTATATGTCGACGACGTATCCCTGGTTGAAGGTTGAAGATTCCAAACAACCAATAATTGCGAATATGTTTCCCATACCTTCTAACTCATTCCCATACCAACGGTAACCGCCGAAAGTTGCCGTTGGTCTTCACAACTAACAACTTAAAATTGATGAAAGACTTGATCGACAAGGTAGAAATGAAACAGGTCTTGATAGCTCAGTTGGTAGAGCGTTGCACTGGAAATGCGAGGGTCCTGGATTCAAATCCTAGTTGAGGCAAGAAAATTTTTCATCAATTTTAATTAATACGTCTGCATGCCACTTAAATTAAACACACTGTAAATTATATAACAGACGGCAAAACTTCTAAAAAAATTGTAAAATATTGGCTTGACATTGATGGTTGGGCGTCCTATCCCGATGCCTATCGATGTCGCTATATGTCGACGACGCATCCTTGGTTGAAGGAATAATGGATTCCAAACAACCATTAATTGCGAATGTGTTCCCCATACCTTCGAACTCACTCCCATACCAACGGTAACTGCCGAAGGTTGCCGTTGGTCTTCACAACTAACAACTTAAAATTGATGAAAGACTTGATTGACGAGGTAGAAATGAAACAGGTCTTGGTAGCTCAGTTGGTAGAGCGTTGTACTGGAAATGCGAGGGTCATGGGTTCAAATCCTAGTTGAGGCAAGAAAATTTTTCATCAATTTTAATTAACACACTGGCTAACCGACCGCCGGCGATCCTTGTATCTGTGAAAAAGAAAACCGTCTTCCGGCGGCATGGTTTTCGTACATATGAGAAAACCGCCGAAAATCTAAACTAATTTGTTAATAAGGGCGGCATGGTATTAGTGTATTAATAAATGCCGCCGGAGAACGGTCTACTGTTCTTAAAGTATTGAATACCGCCGAAAAAATTAGCATCTATAACCTTATTTCTTCCATTTTCATTTGAATTTTCACTTATTTAATATACCATGGTTAATTATCGAGCTGTTATTTGTTTTTACTTTTCCTGGGTTAATTGTGATCGAGTGTATAAATAGCTAGGATAGCTTTGTTGTTACTACAACTATGTGATAATGAAGCTGGGAGACGTGTTCGAAAGTAATGAAGACCTAGATAATTATTCCAAACGAGAATTTGTATTCTTTTGGAAGAGAGATGGCATGCCGCAAGAATATGAAAATCAAATTTTAAAAACAGTGGCTCAGGATGATGAAAATCAAGTTTTAGACACAGTGGCTCAGGATGATGATGAAAATCCAGATCCAAATATTTTTACAAACTGTGAAATTGAAATATTTGATGTATGTTTGACAAGCACTAAAGATTCAAATGTAGGTGAAATAAAAATGCCAATTGCCATGAAGAAAAGAGGTAGGCCGAAAGGTCGATCAAATACTGTCATCGGGTGTGGAAGATAGCTGGCACATACCATCGGCATTCAATCTTTTAAATACATTAGACCATCGTCCGGCGGCGTTTATCAATACACTGATAGCATGCCGCCCTGATTAACAAATCAGGTTAGATTTTCGGCGGCTTTCTTATATGTACGAAAACCATGCCGCCGGAAGACGGTTTTCTTTTTCACAAATACGAGCACCGCCGGCGGTCGTTTAGCCAGTGTGTTTAATTAATACGTCTGCATGCCACTAAAATTAAACACACTGTAAATTATATAACAGATGATAAAACTTCTAAAAAAATTGTAAAATATTGGCTTGACATTGATGGTTGGGCGTCCTATACCGATGCCTTTCGATGTCGCTATATGTCGACGACGCATCCATTAATTGCGAATGCGTTCCCCATACCTTCGAACTCACTCCTATACCAACGGTAACCGCTGAAGGTTGCCGTTGGTCTTCACAACTAACAACTTAAAATTGATGAAAGACTTGATCGACAAGGTTGAAGTGAAACAGGTCTTGGTAGCTC